AAACTGAGGTTCAGGTAGAAAAGAGGGGTGAAGCCTCTCCCTCTGAGGGTCTTAAAGGATAGATATTGGCAAAATTGTTAGAGGAGGGTCCTTGGCAAGTGGTACATATTCCTTAAAGAGCAGTCAGCATTGTTACCTACCCTCTGGTGTCATCGGATGTGCCTTCTATCCTTCCTGTCTTCAAGGAGGAAGTGAAAAAGTGAATCCTGAGTGGGTGACTCACTCAGCTGGAACTAACCTCAACGGAGAAGTGCCAGGCAGCCTTGCTCCTTGGCCTGAGACTCCAGTAGTCTTTTCCAGTGTAACTGGCTGTCTTTCTTATCAGATCCTCCTAGCCAACTTCTTAGCCCAGACTGAGGCGCTGATGAAGGGGAAATCAACCGAGGAGGCCCGGAAGGAGCTCCAGGCTGCAGGAAAGAGTGCAGAGGACATTGAGAAGCTGTTGCCACACAAGGTCAGCACTGCTCCTGAAGTTGGTTTGGGAGCAGCATGCCAGAGCTGGAGGGATGAAGTCGTAGGGCCAGGGTAGGGGTTCATAGTGTGTTTGGGTTGTCCTATGGAATGGGAGGATCTGTCCTCTGAGGCAGGATATTCTCCTTCTGTAGGAGTTTGGGGGTCAGGATTAACCTGGGGATATTTCTTGGTGTTTTCTGAAGGTTTTTGAAGGAAATCGACCAACCAACTCTATTGTGTTCACCAAGCTCACTCCATTCATTCTTGGAGCCTTGATCGGTGAGTAGAGGAAGGTATTAACTTGGGGTCAGTTGGACAAGGATGGGGGATCCCTAACATGCCTGTCTGCCACTCCTGCAGCCCTCTATGAGCATAAGATCTTCGTTCAGGGTATCATCTGGGACATCAACAGCTTTGACCAGTGGGGGTGAGTTGCTTACTCAGGAGGGTGGGGGATGTCTGTGGGTTGGCTTGAAGATTTAGTAGCAACACTGGAGCCTTCCTTATCCCCTTCTTCCTCCCCTTCCTGGCAGAGTGGAGCTGGGAAAACAGTTGGCTAAGAAAATTGAGCCTGAGCTTGAGGGTAGCGCTGAGGTGACTTCTCACGATTCGTCCACCAATGGATTAATCAGCTTCATCAAACACCAGCGTGATGCCAAAACTGAATAAACTCAGCTACAGTTCCTGTTGTGACTGGTCCTTCTTGTCCCACCTTGCCAGAGTCTGCGCTGCATGGTCCTGCCCCTCCCTGTCCAGGGCAACCTCTGGTTGAAGACTTGGGCCACACACCCCCTGGGGGAAGCCAGTCTGGAATTGCCATCCTGCCCTTTCCTTGTCCACTCTCCCTCTTTTCCACTTTGCTGAAGTGCTTCAGTGCAGCCGATTTTTCTGACCTGTGTTTACATCATAAGCAGGAAAATAAAGATGCCACAAAGGAGGGTGTGGGCTCAGCCTCTTACTGTTTCCTGAGAATGGGACTTTGTGTGGCAGTCCGAGCACCAGCCGGGAGGAGTGGAAGGAGCACTGCACCCTGGTTGGCACTTGACTAAGTGGTGAGCAGGTCCAGAATGGAGGACAGAAAGTCAGGAGGTGAACTTGGCCTCTAATCAAGTCCTGTTTTCCTCTCCTTCCACTCCTCACCTTTATGACTTTGGAGAAATTGATAGACCACATTGAGATTATGTCTGTTTCAAGTAATTCCTGGCCAAGAGCAAGGGTGGGTGATTGACATCTCCTAGCCAGATGCTTGACAACTGCCCTTTTATCTTCTCAAGCTATTAATATTTTTGGCTAGTGAAACAGAAAAGGAATTTCATTTAAAGAGTCAATGGATGGAATTGTTGGTCAGGCTAGAAGCTAGGCTTCCAGCATTTATACCCCAGATAGTGATCTGGAATAGTCTGGATAGAGAAACTGCTTCCTCCCACCCTGTTATTAGAACTGCCTCTGTCCCATCCTCTCCTGGGTCACTCACAATTCAGGGATATAACTTTACCACTGAGCCACATCTCCAATGCTTTTTATTTTGAGATAGGATCAAAGTTACTGAGATTGGCCTTGAACTTGTGGTCCTCCTGCCTCAGCCTCCTGGGTTGCTTGGATTACAGGTGTGCACCACTGTACCTGGTTAAGTCACCCACTTCAGTCTGGCTTGGTCACATGCCTTCTTAAAGACAGAAACACATCCAAGATCTGTATTTTTTGTTCTTAAAGAGAGAAGGCAAGCCAGGCATTATGTCATACCTTTTTATCCCAGTTACTCAGGAAGCTGAAGCAATTTAATGAGACCCTATCTCAAATTATAAAAAAAAGTTGCAGGGGGTGGGGGTGATGCTGAGGATATTGTTCTGCGGTAGAATACCCCTGGATCAATCCCTAGTACTCCCCAAAATCTCACAGAAACCCAAAACTATAGTAGTCACATGCTTAGCACTATGTTCAAGGCCCTAGATTGAAATCCCAGCCCCATGTGACACATGCATGAAGAGACTAGTAGTATTATGAGGTAAGCAGATAAAATATGTGCAGGAGAGGTCACTACCTGTTAGAGAATGTATTCTTGGGTTAGCAAAGAATAAGAATTCTGAAGTCTACTTCTTGTAATAACTTTAAAATATCTTGGGAATTAGCTAAAATAATAATCTATACCTGCAAGTTGTCCAATCTAGCTAGACTTGAAGGGAATATCAAGGTCAGACTTCACAGTCTTTTAAAGCTGTCAGGTTGGCAGTGACAAACTCTAGGAGTAACCAAGGAAAGTGGCAGGTGGGGGCTGGAGTCCAACATTGCAAGGTTGGTGCTTCCTCTGAAGTACAGGTCCTTGCAAACACGTTTCCTTTACACATCTTGGATCTATGAATCTTGAAATAGTGCTTTTGCAACTTACATTTATTTGTGGTGCTGGGGATTGAACCCAGGGCCTTGTGCATGCAAGGCAAGCACTCTACCAACTGAACTATATCCCCAGCCCTACAATTTATGGCTTTTACATATCGTGTTTATTGAGATATAATTTACATACAGTAAAACTCAACTTTGGTATACAATTTTGAGGGCTTTACTTTTTTTGATACCAGGGATTGAACCCAGGCTTGTTTAACCAAGAAACCACATACATCCCCAGCCCTTTTATACTTTTTGAGACAAAGTCTCCCTAAGTTGCTGAGGCTGGCTTTGAACTTGCAATCTTCATGCTTCAGCCTCCTAAGCCCCTGGGATTACAAGCACAAATGCCACTATGGGATTTACAATTTTTGAGTTTTGACAAATGTATACAATCATGTAACCACAACAGAAACATTCTTCTCATCTCAAAAAGTTCATGGCACCCCCTAGTGGCCAATCCCTCCCCCAAAACCCAATTCCTGGCCACAATTGATCTGTTTTCCTGAAGTTTTGCCTTGTCCAGAACAGTCTTTTGCATCTAACTTCTTTCTCTTAGCATGACGCTTTTGAAATTAACTCACGCTGTGCCATTTTAATTTTTTACTATGCCAGATGTGGTGTTGCATGCTTGTAATTCCAGCTATTTGCAAGACTGAGGTTGGAGATCCAAAATTCAATGCCTGCCTGGTAAATTTAGGAAGACCCTGCCTCAAAAGAAAAAGAGAAAGTTGGGGGATGTAATTTAGTGGTAGAGTGTTCCAGCATTCAATCTCCAGTACTCTCCCCCACCTCCTGAAGAAAAAGGGGAAAATACCAGGTATAGTGCCACATGCCTGTAATCCCAGCAGCTTGGGAAGCTGAGACAGGAGATTCAAGAGTTCAAAGCCACCCTCAGCAAAAATGAGGTGCTAAGCAAGTCAGTGAGACCCTGTCTCTAAATAAAATACAAAATAGGGTTGGGGATGTGGTTCAGTGGTCAAGTCTTCCTGAATTCAATTTCCCATACAAAAAAAAAAAAAAGGAAAACACTTTCAGTATGGAAAATTCCCAAGATATACAGACTGACCTCCATGTGCCTGGCATCAAATGTTAACAATTACCAACCCATGGCCAATTTTATTACCCAATACCACTTCTTTTTGTTGTATCCTAGATACATCATTTTATCTATACACATTTCAGTATGTACTTCTCAAAAATCAGGGACTTTGTTTTTCTTTTCTAGCTAAGGGCAGATACTGTTACCAGGACTGCAGACCAAAGGCTGCTGGGTTCCCCAGTAACTGAATTGTTAATCCGAAGTAAGAGGGAACATATGGAAAGAAAAATGAATTTGGGCTGGGGATGTGGCTCAAGCGGTAGCGCGCTCCCCTGGCATGCGTGCGGCCCGGGTTCGATCCTCAGCACCACGTGCAAACAAAGATGTTGTGTCCGCCGAGAACTAAAAAATAAATATTAAAAAAAAAAAAAAAAAATGAATTTGATCACAATTTGGCCCAAACTGGGAAGACAGCTAATTTGCCTTAGTCCTACAGAAACTTTATAATTTATAGGAACAAAGACTAAGAAATATGTATGTGGATTTAGTTGGGCTGTACTAGCCAGAGTTATAATTTCAGTTTTTCTTCTGGTCGTGCAAGTTGGACACAATACCTTTATTTTATTTATTTTTATGTGGTGCTGAGGATTGAACCCAGGGTCTCTCACATGTTAGGCAAGTGCTCTACCGCTGAGCCACAACCCCAGCCCCCTAATTTCAGTTTTTCAATCTTGGCTGCCACCCGCCTAGAATTTTGGGGCAGCAACTCAGCTTCCATTCTCAGAATGAGGAAGCTGGAATGGAAACCAGGAAATAGGGAGGGGAAAAAAAAACGGGGGCTTCTAATCTCAAAGGTACCATTATCTGGCCTAAAATTTTATTTTCAGGTAAAATTTTTTGGCAAGATCTCGTCATGATAGATGGTGTGTATTTCCTATCACAGCACATTAGAAGGCACAACGTCTGGGCGCTCCCCCATTTAAAGCTATGACACCAGCAGTTATCTGCAGAGTCCTGACCCAGCCCAAACACTTTAAAATGAGACTTCAGCATTCTCAGAACCCATCCTATTCACTGGGCGGGGTCTCGCTGGTTACATGATGCGCGTGCGCAGAGTTGTACCTTCTCAGCTGCCGTACTCCGTCTTTTCACGTGCGAACTAGGTTGTCATGGCGGCTGTTCGGAAGCCGGTGCTGCTCGGGCTTAGAGACCTGGCAGTGCAAGGCAGCCCTACCGGGCCAAGTGCCTGGACTGCTAGCAAGCTGGGTGGCATTCCGGTGAGGGCGAGCGCAGGTGGGGTGGGCGGGTGCCAGCGAGGAGTACGTACGCAGGGAGGCAGCGGAGAGGTTCGGGGACAGAGTCGGGGTCTGAGCGCTTCCCCCTTCCTTAGGATGCCCTGCCTGCCGTAGCAGCGCCGAGGCCTGTGTGTGAACGCTGCAAGGAGCCACAAACTCTGGTCGTGCAGGTGTACTGCCCGCTGGAAGGCTCCCCATTCCATCGGCTACTGCACGTGTTCTCTTGCGCGCGCCCCAAGTGCGGCGACAGCGGGGCGCGCAGGTAGGCTGGGTGTCACGCCGAGTGTCACGCCGAGTGGGCGGAGTTGGGGCGGGGTGTGTGGGGCGAACACGGGGGACTTGGGGCTGGGTGGGGGAAACGCCGAGGGCTTGGGGCGGGTTAGCGGGATGGGAGTCCGGAGTGGAGCTCTCACTGTTGTGTTTTTACCCTGAAGTTGGAAGGTGTTCCGCTCCCAGTGCCTGCAGGTGCATGAGAAAGAGGCACAGGTAAAGTAATTGTGATTGACATTATGTTTTGCTGTAATATGAGGGTATTTCCCAAAATATCTTTTAAAATCAATTTTAAAAAAAAATAAAATAAAATCAATTTTTAAGCTGTGTTCTTTGTGGTACAGTGAAATTGGTTTTGCTCTTTCAGAACCATAAAATGGTCCAGGTGTTGTGGCGCACGCCTGGAAACCCATTTATTTAGGAGACTGAGGCAAGAAGACTTCAAGTTCAAGGCCATCCTGGGCAACTTAGTGAGACCCTATCTCGAAATAAATAAAAAGGACTGGAGATGTAGCAATAGTAGAGTCCTCCTGGGTTCAGTCCTAGTACTGGGGGGAAAAAATAAAAAAGAAAACTCTTGTTAGTTCAAACAGGCTTCACACCGGAATTTATATATTTACAAATTACATAGACTGGAGGAGGCGATTTCAGGAATGACCTCCTGAACCCCTATCTCCACTGGCCCATCTGTCAGGCTACCTCTCCTGCAGTCCAGAAGCTTAGGTGTGATCTGGTGAACTGCAAGCCATCCTTGTCACAGAATTGTTGGCTCTCCAGTCTTGTTCTACCTATATTTATAGACTGACTTCCTTTTGTTTCTTGGTATTTTTACCACACTCTATGTCAAGTTTATGTTTCTCTCTGGTGGGCCCCATAAGCATACCTCTCATTATATCTGAAACCGTAGCTGCTAAGGAGTCTGAGAACTGAACTTCTTTCCTTTCAATCTAGCAATGTATGAAGCACAACAAAAAAGATTTTGGAATAGATGGTTGAAGAAACCATTTGCTGTATCTGACACTCTGCCCCTGAAAAGTATATACTTAATACTGGTATTTAAGTCACCTCTGACCAATGCTATCAAGTAGTAGATGGAGTTCGGGGAGATGAATTGGAGGGACTGGTGAAGGCTCCTTCAGGAAATTGAAGGGATGGGTTGCTGAAGCCAAAGGAATATATGAAATCTCCTAAGTGTGATTGGACCTTATTCACCAGATATTCTTCCAGAAACAAGAAAATGGCCTTGTCGCTGAGAACTGGTGTGAAGGTGCAAATGACTGGGGAAGTGACAGTGAGGAGGCGCCTCCACCACAGCTTACCTTGGATTTTGTTCATGAGTCTAACTCTGCCAAAGATGCAGACTGCACTGCCCAGCTCCAAGACCTGCACCTGCAGGACACTGTCCTGGATGCCACTCATTCTGAACCTCCAGCAGAAGGGATGGCCTTGCCTACTGTAGTGCCACAGTTCCTGCCCTACTACATCTGTGTCGTAGATGAGGATGATTACAGAGACTTGGTCAGTCTAGATCATGCCCACAGCCTTCTGAGGGACTATCAACAGAGAGAAGGAATTGGCATGGAACAGTTGCTTTCCCAAAGGTGAGAATGCATGCTGCTGAAGTTGAGAGGTGACTTGGTCCAGAAGCTGCCATAGTAGGTGCAATTGGTTTCACCTTAGTACCTGGGGGAACTTTTCCAGGCAGAACTTTTGTGGTAGGATCTTTCTGCTTCAATCTTGAGTGAGAATAGGATACACAAACAGAGGGCACCTCCTCATCAGCCAGCTTGAGTTAGCATGAAGGTACTTTGGTCTATTTATTTATTAACAAACTGTTCTTTACATTTATTGCTTGTATAAACATGAGATTCATTATAAATCTTAAAGGAAGAAAAATAAGGAAGAAAAAATTACCTGCTTTAGCATTTTTAAGAACAGCTTTTATAACTTAAAATATTTTGGGGGTACTTGGAGTGGAACCAGGAGTGCTGTACCACTGAGCTACATTCCAGCCCTTTCTATTTTGAGACAGGGTCTTGCTAATTTGCTTACCCTTACTACATTGATGAGGCTGGCCTCAAACTTGCAATCCTCCTATCTCAGCTTCCCGAGTCACTGGGATTATAGGCATGCGCCACCATACCCAGCAGTTACTTTGGTCTATTTATAAATGCCCTCAAGAAAATGAACCAGGATGACTGGGCATGGTAGCATATGCCTGGAATCCCATCAACTCGGGAGCCTGAGGTAGGAAGATTGCAAGTTCCAGGCCAGCCTCAGCAATTAAGCAAGATCTAGACTCAAAAAATAAAAAGGGACTGGGGTTGTGGCTCAGTGATAGAGTGCTTGTGTCACACATGTGAGGCACTGGGTTTGATCCTCAGCACCACATTAAAAATAATAAAGTTATTATGTACATCTACAACTAAAAAATGTTAAAATAAAAAATAAAAAGGGCTGGGATGTAGCTTAGTGTTGAAACACCCCAGAGTTCAAACCCCAGTACCCTCCTCTCCTGCCAAAAAAAGAGAATGAACCAAGATGAACAGACAGAAGTTAGAGATGCCAAGTGTTTTCAGAAGATGCATTCACTATTTCTTTAACTTTTTTTTCCTGTGTTCTCTTACCCCTTCCTTTTTTGTGGTACTGAGTATCAAATCCAAGGCTTCATGCATATTAGGCAAGTGCTCTACCACTGAACTACATCCCCAGCACCCTTTCTGTTTAAAAAAAATTTTTTTTGGTACTAGGGATTGAACGCAGAAGTGCTTAGCCACTGAGCCACATCATCAGCGCTTTTGTATTTTTTTTAGAGACAGAGTCTTGCTAAGTTGCTTAGGGCTCACTAAGTTGTTGAGGCTGACTTTGAACTTGTGATTCTCCTGCCTTAGCTTCCACATCCTTTGGGATTACAGGCATATGCCACCATGCTGGGCTTTTTAAATGTTTTTCATAGCAGAGGCAAGCCTTTTGTAGCTGGGTGCAGTGGTGCACACCTATAATTCCAGCAACTTGGGAAGCTGAGGCAGGAGGATCATTTTTGCTATGTAATAATATAAAGTAGGATATTTGTAGAGTTGACTTAATTCTTTGCCAGGTCTGTTTTACTTATGGACTTTTTAAATGATTATCCCAGAGTTGAAAATGGCTTGGGAGAATGGTGAGCCAGTAGGCTACATATGTATATTATAAGCAGGGACACTCTGTAATGAGCTACTTTTTGGGGGGGTACTGAGGATTGAACCCAAGGGTGGTTTAATACTGAAGTACGTCCCCAGGCCTTTTTATTTTGAAAGTTCTCACTAAATTGCTGAGGGCCTCACTAATTTGTGATCCACTTGCTTTAGTCTTTCAAGTGGCTGGGATTATAGGCATGTGTCACCATTCCTGGCTTTAAATATTTTTGATATTTAAATTTTGTGTATGTATTTGCTTTTTCTTTTTTGCTGTATTGGGGATTGAACTCAGGATTTGTGCATGCTGAGCATGCCCCCATCACTGAGCTAACTATATCTCCAACCCCTGATAAAAAAATTTTTAAATCATACTGAAGAGTGAACCCAGGAGGATTTTTCATCTCTGAGCTACATCTGCAGATCCCTTTTATTTTATTTCTGTTGTGTGGAAGAGCATTGGGGATTGGACCCAAGGGTGCCTTACCAATGAACTTCATTCGCCGGGTTTTGGGGTTTTTTTGAAACGGGGTCTTGCGAAGTTACCTGAGCTGACTTAAGGTCCTCTTGCCTCTGCCCCAACAGACTGAAATTATAGGAGTGCACCACCGCAGCAAATTTTTTAAGAGGATTATCTTGTTTTCTTTTCTAAATCCTATAATACTCTTAATATTCACACTCAAAGGTGGTTTCCGCTTCTCTTTTTATTTTTTTTAGTGATGGTAATGAAAAATATGAGAAGACCAAAATTAAAAGTGGAGATCAAATGTTTTACAAATTCATGAAGAGAATTGCTGCTTGTCAGGAGCAGATTTTGAGGTAAAGGAAATATATTTTCTTCAATTTACTCGTCCTTTCTTCCTTCATTCCTTCCTTTCTTTTTTGCAGTATTGGGGGTTGAACTCAAGAGTACTCTAAAGCCACATCCTCAGTCCTTATGATCTCAAGTTCAAGGCCAGCCTTAGCAATTTAGTAAGACACTTTTTCACAGTAAAAAATAAAATAGGCTGGGGGTTGTAACTCAGTGTAAAAATACCCTGGGTTCAATATTAGTCAATTAAAACAGTGGATTAAAAAAAATGGCTCGGCATAGCCACATCAATATTTATAGCAGTAGCTAAACTGTGGAACCAACATAGATGCCCTTCAGTAGATGAATGGATAAATAAACTATGGTATATATACACAGTGGAATATTATTTAGCATTACAAGAGATTAAATCATGGCATTTTCAGGTAAATGGATGGAGTTGGAGAATATTATGCTAAGTGAAGTTAGCCAATCCCAAAAAAACCAAATGCCGAATGTTTTCTCTGATACGAGGATGCTGATCCTTAATGGGTATGACAAGGGAGCATGAGAGGAATGGAGGAACTTTACATAGGGAAAAGGGGAGGGAAGGGGAAGTGAGGGGCAGGAGAATAGGAAAGATGGTGGAATGAGATGGACATCATTATCCCAAGTACATTTCAAGTACATGTATGAAGACATGATGGTGTGACTCTACTTTGTGTACAACTAGAGACATGAAAAATTGTGCTCTCTATGTGCACTATGAATTGAAATGCATTCTGTCATATTTAACAAGTTAGAATAAATAAATAGTTTTTTTTTAAATGGCTTGGTAGTGGAGCACTTGCTTAGCATGTTCAAGGTCCTGGATTCAATTCCCATTATCTGCAAAACAATAATAATAATATAAACATAAATATGTAAAAACAAGAAATTTCTTTCTCACCATCTGCCCAACCTGCGCAGATAACCATTATTGTTTCTTTTTTTTTTTTTTCTGGTACCGGGGATTGAATTTAGGGGCACTTGACCACATCCTCAGCCCCATTTTGTATTGTATTTAGAGACAGAGTCTCACTTAGTTGCTTAGCCCCTCACCATTGCTGAGGCTGGCTTTGAACTCACAATCCTCCTGTCTTAGCCTCCCAAGCATCTGGGATTACAGGTGTGTGCCACTATGCCCAGCCCGTTATTGTTTCTTGTGTGTCATTTCCAGAGTTTTTTTTTTTTTTTTTTACATACATAAGCAAATATGATTACATATTACTACCACCCTTTTTTTTTACACACAAAAAAATCATTCTAGACATATTCTGTATCCAGATTTTTTTTGTAGTGTATGTAGGATTACAACATTTGTATCATGTGGGATAGGTATACAATACAAATTTTTTTTTTTTTTTAGTTGTTGAGAATCTTTTTATTTATTTATTTACATATAGTGCCAAGAATCAAACCCAGTGTCTCACACATGCTAGGCAAACTCTCTACCACTGAGCCACAACCCCAGCCTAGCCCATATTTAACTTTTTAAGAAAGAGTCAAACGGTTTTCCCCCAGCCTATTTTATTTAATAAAATAATCAATGCTTGTTACTACCATTTATTTACTTATTTGACCTTTTTTTTTTTCCTCAGTATTAGGGATTGAACCCAGGGCCCCTTAACCACCAAGCCACATCTCCAGCTCTTTCTTTTTCTTTTTTTAAGTTTTATTTTATTTTGAGACAGGATAAGTTGCTTAGAGTCTCACTAAGTTGCTAAGGCTGATCTCAAATTTGGAATCCTCCTGTCTCAGCCACTGGGATGACACACCTGGTTGTTTATACTATTTACATTCCCACGCCAGTGTATAAGATTTCTAGATCCTGCACATCTTTGCTAGTACTTGGTATGTTCTATTTTTAAATTTAGCCATTTGAAGAGTATAGTAATATTTCATTGTGATTTAAAAAAAAAATTTTGTAGTTGTAAATGGTTAGAATGCCTTTATTTTATTTGTTTATTTTTATGTTGTGCTGAGGATTGAACCTTGTGCCTCACACATACTAGGCATGCACTCTGCCACTGAGCTTCAGCCCCAGCCCTTCATTATGATTTTAGTTTGCATTTTCCCATTTGCTCTAGCAAAGATGGTATCTTTTCAAGTACTTATTTTTTATATGTGAATATCATCTTTGGTGAAGTGTCAGTTCAATTTTTTTTTTTTTTTTTTTTTAAGATTTTCTTGCTCAGTTGCCTGGGCTGGTGTCAAAATTCAACCCTCCTGTCTCGGCCTCCTGAGCACCTGGGATAACAGGTGTGAGCCACCACACCTGTCATCAGTTCAAATTCTTTGCCATATTTTTATTGGATTATTTATCTTTTTATTGAATTCTATAAGTTCTTAATATTGTCAGGATACAAGTCCTTTATTTTTTGTACTAGGCATTTAACTGGGCGCTTTACCACTGAGCTGAGCTACACCCTAGCTTTTTTTAAAAAATTTTTTTTGAGACTGGGTCTTGCTAAATTGCTTAGAGTCTCACTAAGTTGCTGAGGTTGGCCTTGAACTTGAAATCCTCCTGCCTTTGCCTCTGTAGTCGATGGGATTACAGGTATGGGCCACCAAGCCCAGATTGTGTTTTCATTATGGTAATACTGTCTTTTTTTTTTTTCCTTTCCCTTCTGTGATGGAGGTCCAACTAGGGCCACTAGGCAGTGCTCTACTGCTTAACTACATTCCCAGCCCATTAATACTATCTTTTTTTCCTTTTTGATACTGGGGATTGAATCCAGGTCCATTTTACCACTGAATACATCTCCTGTCCTTTTTATTTTTTATTTGAGATGGTCTTGCTAAGTTGCCCAGGCTGTCCTTGAACTTGAGATCCTTCTTCCTCCACCTCCTTAGTTGCTGGGTTTACAGGCTTGCTCAACAGTTCCCAGCTCAGTAACATTCACTTTTCAAGAGAACATTTAAATTTTGATCTAATCTAGCTGGCGCAGTGGCACATCCCTGTAATCCCAACAGCTAGGAAAGCTGAAGCAGGAAGATTGCAACTTCAAAGCAGCCTTATCAACCTAGCAAGGCCTTTGGTAACTTAATGAAACCCTGTCTCAAAATAAAATAATAAAAGGGATGGGGATGTGGTTCAGTGGTTAAGCACCCCTGGGTTCAATCTCTGGTACCAAAAAAAAAAAAAAAGCGTACTATAACTGTGAATATATCTTTTTTACTTTTAATTATGTCAATTTTTGCCTCATGAATTTTTTCCACTTTTTTTATTGGTGCATTAAAGTTGTACATAATGATGGGATTTGTTAAATATTCATACATGCACACAACATAATAATAAACTTTAACCAATACCACTCCCAACACTTCTCCCCCCCGCTTCTTTTTTTTTTTTTTTTAAATATTTATTTATTTATTTTTGTTTTCGGCGGACACAACATCTTTGTTTGTATGTGGTGCTGAGGATCGAACTCGGGCCGCACGCATGCCAGGCGAGCGCGCTACCTCTTGAGCCACATCCCCAGCCCCTCCCCCCCGCTTCTTGATTTCTCACCCTTTGGTCCCTTTCCTCTACTGATCTCCTTTTGATTTTCATAAAATCCCTGCCCCCACTTTTATTTTCCGTTTTCCTCTCTAGTTTTTGCTTATGAGAGAAAACATATGACTTTTTTTTTTTTTTTTTTTTTTTTAGTTGTAGACAGACACAACACTTTTATTTCATTTATTTGTTTTTATGTTGTGCTGAGGTTCGACCCAGTGCCTCACATGTGCTAGACAAGCACTCTACCACTGAGCTATTAATCCAGCCCTGAGAAAACATATGACTCTTTACCTTCTGAGTTTAACTTATTTTGCTTAACATGATGGTCTCTTGTTCCATACATTTTCCTACAAATGACATAATTTCATTTTTCTTTATTTTACCTCATGAATTTTGGGGGGTTACCAGGAATTGAACCCAGGGTACTTAACCACTGAACCATATCCCCAGCCCCTTTTTTATATTTTATTTAGAGACAGGGTCTCAATAAATTGCTTAGGGCCTCACAATTCTCCTGCCTCAGCCTCCCTAGCTGCTAGGATTACAGGTGTGTGCCAGCTGCCTCAGAATTTTTATGCCATTTAAGTTGTGTGCATATTTAGGATTGCTATATTTATCTAATGAGTTGATCCTCTTACAATTATGACGTTCTTACTTTGTCTTATACTTCTTCCTATTGAGTGAATCTTCCCTAATACTAATATAGCCAAATTAGATTTCTGTTGTTTAGTCTTTGATTCATCTTTATCCACTTTCTGTGTGTGTGTGTGTGGGGGGGGTGGTATTGGGGATTGAATTCAGGGCCTCACAAATATTTAGCAAGCACTCAACTACTGAGTTATGCCCTCAGCCCCTAACTATACTTTTACATTTAATCTATTTCCTACTCTAAATATAAAATGTGATTCTTAAACAACTTAAATGTTTGGGTCCTGCTTTTTTTTTTTTTTAAATCCAGCCTGACAGTGTGTTTGTTGTTTGGAATGTTAGTTCATTTAATTATTTATGGTAATTATTAAATTGAGTATTTTGTTTACCATTTTATTTTCTTTCTTTCTCTCTCTCTTTGTTTTGTTTTTTGTTTATTTGTTTGTTTTGTTTTTATTTTTAGTACTGAGTCTTGAAACTAGGGTTTCTGGCATGCTAGGCAAGTGCTCTACCATTGAGCAAAATCCCCAGTGCTTTATCTCCTTTCTTCACTTTAATTTATAACTATATAAGTGTAATATAACTGTATAAGTTTTTAGTGTTTGCCTTAACGAGTATGTTGCACAGTATTACTTATTGTAGTTCTAAGAACCACAGCATAGATTCCCATTTATCATTCCCCTGCACTTATGATCTTGTTTTTATGAATTTTGCTTCTATATATGCTATAAGCCTCATGGTATATGTATAATATATGTGTGTATGTTGTATTTTATATAAATGTGTGTATGTATATGTATATGCATGTGTATACACACACATGTAAATATATGTGTTGGGGGGGTATGTGGGTGTATGTGTGTGTGTGTATGTATGTGTGTGTGTGTATATATATATATATATATGGATGGAGATTTTTTTGCTTGAAATCATAAATAGTCTGTAAGGAAAATAAATATAAAGTAAAATAACTATCAGAAGTTCTTTTATGCCAGGCATGGTGATGCACACCTATAATCCCAGTGACTCGGGAGGTTGAGGCAGGTGGATCACAAGTTCACAGCCAGCCTTCGCAACTTATGAGGCCCTAAGCAACTTAGCAAGACCCTGTCTCAAAATAAAAAAGTAGCCAGGCATGGTGGCACATGCCTATAATCCCAGCAGCTGAAGAGGCTGAGAAAGGAGGATTGAGAGATCAAAGCCAGCCTCAGAAACTTAGGCCCTAAGCAACTCAGTGAGACCATGTCTCTAAATAAAATATAAAATGGGGCTGAGGATGTGGCTCAGTGGTTGAGTGCCCCTGAGTTCAACCCCTGGTACCAAAAATAAAAATTAAAAAAAGGGTTAGGGATATGGCTCAGTGATTAAGCACCCCTGGGTTCAATCCCTGATACCAAAAAAAAAAAAAAGTTCTTATGAGCTAGGGGTGTAGCTCACTGGTAGAGTGCTTTTTTTGCCTAGCATGTAACTGGGACCTAGGTTCCATCCCTAGCACTTGGAAAAAAAAAAAGTCAGGAGGAGAGAAATCCTTTCATATTTATTCACCTATTCACCCTTTTGGTATTCCACATTCTTTCATGCAGATCTGTTTCTATCTGATATTTCCCTTCAGTATGAAGAACTTTTAATACGTTTGTTGGAGAGAGTTTCTCAGGTTTTGTCTGTGTAAAAAATGTATTTAATATTTATTTTTAAACACATATTTTTATTGAATGGAAATTTTCACACTTAGGGCTGGAGATGTGGCTCAAGCAGTAACGCACTCGCCTGGCATGCGCAGGGCACTGGGTTCGATCCTCAGCACCACATAAAATAAAATAAAGATGTTGTGTCCACCGAAAACTGAAAAATAAATATTTAAAAATATTCTCTCTCTCTCTCTCTACCCCCTCCCCCTCGCTCCTCCTCTCTCTCTTTAAAAAAAAAAAAAATTTACACTTAAAATAGATACATGAAAATTCTGTGTAGTGATGGAGTGCCGTGTGATATTTCAATTCATGTGTACAATGTGTAATGTTTAAATCAGAATAAATAATACATTTATCCTAAACATTTATTACATCTTTATGGTGAAAAATATTCAAAATCCCTTTTTCTAGCTTTTGTTTTCTTTCTTTCTTTTCTTTTTTTTTAATTTGGCATAGTAGGGATTGAACCATGGCACTTTACCTGAGTTTTATGACCAGCCTAGCTGTCTTGTCTATATTTATTTTCATATTGGGGATTGAACTGCGGGGCACTGTACCACTGAGCTATGTTTACCCTATCCTTTTTATTTTTTTATTTTGAGATGATTTCATGAAGTTACCATGGATGGCCTTCAATTTGTGATTCTCCTGCCTCACAGCCTCCTGAATAGCTGGGACTATAGGTGTGCACAACTGTGCCCAGCTGTTCCATTGTTTTCTTGCCTTTGTCATTTCTGTTAGAAATTAGCTGTAGTTAAAGAGACATATGAAGCTCAGTGGTAAAGTACTTGCCTAGCATTGTTGAGCAAGGTCCTGTGTTAGATACCACACACACACACACACACACAAAAAAAAAATATATAGTTTTTTTGTTGTTGTAGAAGATGGACACAATACCTTTATTTATTTATTTATTTATGTGGTGTTAAGGGTAGAACCCAGTACTTCACATGTGCTAGGCTGTATGATAGATTATTTGAAATTGTACCATAGAGGCTAAAGATGTAGCTCAGTGGTAGAGCACTTGCCTAGCATGCTCAGAGGCCCTGGGTTTGATTCAATGAAACAAAGAAGAAGAAAAGAAAAATTATACTGTAGTCTTTCAAAGTTCTCTTTTTGGGGTCTTACTTTTAGTTCCATTTGGAATAATTTATATTTGCTTTTTTCTAAAAATTCATGTTTTTATTTTGTCCAATCTATTGTTATTTATTTTTATTTTTATTTTATCTCTGTTGCCCAGGCTGCGGTAGAGGTTCTAAGCTCAAGTGATCTTTTTGCTTCAGCCTCCAAAGTAGCTGTGTGCACACCACCACGCCTAGCTTAGTCCTTTTTTTCTGACACACAGCATCTTGCATTTGTAGTATTTCTATTTCAGTCTCTCTTAATTTCCATTTCTGTGCTGAATTACTCATCCATTCATTCTTGTTTACCTTTTCCACTACATTCTTTTACATATTTGTTGCTGGTATTTTTTTTTTTAATCTTTATTTATTTTTATGTGGTGCTAAGGATCGACCCAGTGCCTCACCCATGCGGGCACTCTACTACTGAGCTACAGCCCCAGCCCTTGTCACTGGTATTATAAAGACCCTGTCTAATACAACCATCATCTTGTCTGTGGGTTTTCTGGTATTGACTTTCTTCATGGGTTAAATTTACCTGTTTCTTTACCCATCTAGTAACTTTTTTATTTGTTAGAAATTATATGTTGGGGGACTGGGGTTATATAGCTCAGTGGTAGAACGCTCACCTTGCATGTGCGGGGGGGCCCTGGGTTTGAGCCTCAGTACCACATTAAAAAAATAAATAAATAAAATAAAGATGTAAAAAAAAAAGAAAGAAAGAAAGAAATTATATGTTGGAGGGGCCGGGGCTGTGGCTCCATGTTAGAATGCTTGCCTAACATGTGTGAGGCGCTGTTTTCTTTTTTTTTTTTTTTTTTGAATTTTTTAATATTTATTTTTTAGTTTTCGGCGGACACAACATCTTTGTTTGTATGTGGTGCTGAGGAGCGAACCCGGGCCGCACACATGCCAGGCGAGCGCGCTACTGCTTGAGCCACATCCCCAGCTGTTTTCGATCCCTGACACCACATAAAAATAAATAAAATATAGGTATTGTGTCCATCTACAATTAAAAAAGTATTTAAGAAAAAAGAAATTATATGTTGGAGAACAGTAGATACTAAGTATGCCCCTTTGCTATAAGGGAGGTTTGAGTCCATTTACTCTGTAGTTGGGCTGGTCTGGACTTCATTGCAGCCATAGTTGGACTCTGTTCAGCATTGGCCAGACTTCAGATGTCTTGCTGTGCTTTATAGACTTGCTGCTTCTGGTGTTTTTGTTTTGTTTTTTTGCTCTGGAGGATTTCTTTGGTCTTTTGTTTTGCTCCTGGTACTTTCTAAGAAAGGAAGTGTGCAAAGAGTGACCTCAGATATTGGGGTATGATTTGTATGTATGTGCCTCTGACTTCAGGTTTTCTGTTATCTTTATTGTAGGTATTCCTGGAGTGGAGAGCCACTCTTTTTGACCTGCCCTACATCAGAAATCACTGATATCCCAGCCTGTAGCCACTGTGGAGGTCAAAGAATATTTGAATTTCAGCTTATGCCAGCACTGATCAGCATGCTTCAAAGTGCTAATTTAGGTAAACTTTATTAATCTGAGTTTATGCAATTCTTGGATTATCTTGGTATTATACTAAAATGATAGGCCATGTTTTTGTTTAATTATAAAATATAGTATTTTGTAGAAAACTTGGGAGATAAAAATTGCTTTAGGAAATTTATAATATAACATTCTGAGTGTAGTGGCACATACCTGTAATCCCAGTGACTAAAGTCTGAGGCAGGAAAATCTCAAGTTCAAGGCTTTGCCTGGGCAATTTAGTGAGATCCTATCTCAAGAGTAAAAAAATAAATTAAAAGGGATGGGGATATAGCTCAGTGGTAGGATGTCCCTGGGTTCAATCCCCAGCACCACCAAAAAGAAAAAAAAAAAAAAAGAAAAATTATGATCTAACCAATCTAACACAACTACTAACAACCATTTTCGGTGATTAAAGGCTGAGCATTTCTACTCTTAATATTATTTTCATCACCTTATTATACAATCAAAATTTATAATCATTTAAAAACATTTGTTGCTGGGGACATAGCTCAGTTGGTATAGTGCTTGCCTTGCATGCACAAAGCCTTGGTTTGATCCCCATCACCACAAAAATAAATAAATAAATAAATACAAACTTTGTCTAGTTGGGTGTGTAGGCCTATGCCTGTAGCCCTACCTACTTGGAACGATGACATAGGAGAATTGCTTGAGGCTAGCCTAGGCAACATAGTTTTTGTCTCAGAAACAATGGGAAAAAATATAAATTAATAAAAAATAAATTGCCTTCTAAATGATTATAATTAATATTTTGTAATCATTAGTTTTTCTTTTGAAAATTTTAAAGAAAAATGTGAAGTTTTTTATAATAAAAGTACATTAACTTAGTCAGCTTCACATTACTATTACAAAATATCTGAGGAAATTAACTTTTATCAAGATGGCCAGGTATGGTGGCACACACTTGTAATCCCAGCTACAAGACAGACTGAGACAGGAGGATCATAAGTTCAAGTCTACCCTTGGAAATTTAGCAAGACCCTGTCTCAAAATAAAATAAAAAGGACTGGGGATGTAGCTTACTGATAGAATGCTTGCCTAGCATGTGGGTTTAATCCTAGTACTTAAAAAAAAAAAAAAAAGACAAAACCGTAAGAAGTTTATTTTGGCTTTCAGTTCTGAAGGTTACAGTCTACTATCAAGTAGTTCCATTGCTTTGAGCTTGTTGTGAGGATAGCACATCATGGTAGGAGCATGTGGGCAAAACTAGGCAGTGGAGCCAGGCGTGGGTGCGCACACCTGTAATCCCAGCAGTTTGGGAGCCTGAGGCAGGAGGATCATGAATTCAAAGCCAGACTCAGCAAAAGCAAGATGCTAACCAATTCAGTGAGACCCTGTCTCTAAATGAAATGCAAAATAGGGCTGGAGATGTGGCTTAGTGGTCGAATGCCCCTAAATTTTTGGTACCAAAAAAAGGGGGGAGTGGGGGTGTGATGGGGATGTGGCTCAGTGGTTAAGTGCCCCTGGGTTCAATCCCTGGTATCAAAAAAAAAAAAAAAAAGACAGCAGGGGGTAAAATACGGATAGTCAGATATCTGTCCATTCTTTTCCCATTTACAGAATAAGTCTCCATTCTCCAATTTATATTGGGACCAAGCCATATTACAAGAAAAATAAATTTTTTTTCTCTCCTTTTTTTCTTTAAAAAATCTTCTGCTTTAAAATAATTCCAGTTATTGCCAGGCATGGTGACACATGCCTCTAATCCCAGCGACTCAGTAGGCTGAGGCAGGAGGATTGCAACTTCAAAGTCAACTTCAATAATTTATCAAGGCCTTAAGCAATTTAGCAAGACCCTGTCTCAAAAATTATAAAGGGCTTGGGATATGGCTCAATGGTAAGGGGCCCCTGGGTTTAATCCCCAGCACCAAAACTTTAAATTCCAATTATGTTAAATGTAAGGGGTAAATTCTCGTTGATATACATTGAATTCCCATAATCTTCAGTGGTTTTCTGAAAAGGAAAAAACAGAACAAAAACAAGCCTGAGGCTATTCTTTGAGTCCCTAACCAAGACTGGACTTTTTTTTTTTTGTACCAGGGATTGAACCCAGGGGCCCTGAACCACATCCCCAGCCCTTTTTAATTTTTTTTTTTTTTTTTTAAAGACAGGGTCTTGCTAAGTTGCTGAGGCTGGTTTTGAACTAGTGATTCTCCTGCCTCAGCCTCCCAAGCCACTGGGATTATAGGCATACTCTGCCATGCCCGGCCAGGAATCTATCCCATATTGTATCTTCAGAGTATCCTTTGTCCCAATCAAGATCTGACCTATATGTCTGTCTGAAAATTACTGGCGGTGCAAGCATGCTTGTTCTTGTTATGTGGTCCTCAGGGTGCTTGATAGGCCCTCATGAATAGAAATCTCTTATGAAGAAAAAAAAAAAAATCCTTAAAAAAATCCTTAAAAAAATCCCTAAATCTCAAGTAGTCTAGGTACACATAAGGATTTACAATTTTTAAATTATTATTTTAGATAGCAAGGATACAATAAAACCTTGTAGAGAGCTTTGAGGCACTTTGGGATAGAACAAAGTAAGTTTTTTTTTTTAATATTTATTTTTTAGCCTTAGGTGGACACAATATCTTTATTTTATTTTTATGTGGTGCTGAGGATCAAACCCAGTGCCTCACACATGCCAGGCGAGCGCGCTACTACTTGAGCCATATCCCCAGCCCCACAAAGTAAGTTTTAATACAGATTTATTTATAGCTGACATTCACTATGTAGGGCAGAATAGTTCAGCTGGAACATGTAACATGAGACTGTATAGAGAGAGTTTAGAGAATGGAGGGGGAGGGCATGACAAGAGGTCATACTCAGAACTTAGATTTATGGCAGAAGATTAGAGTTAGGAGATTGTCCACTAAGTGTATCAGGTCTGAATGTAGAGATTAATGGAGGTATTTCTTTGATTATCTTGTCAGGGCCTAGTCCCTCCAAAAATGTCTCTAGTGAACCCCACATTTGGTAAAACAAAGGGGTACTCAAAACACTGGAAGACCAATCCTTCATATGTGTCTTCTGGATAAGAAACTTAATTCTCTCTGATCCAGGAATGGGGTATATTGGCCAAAGAGTGTGTCCTACTTTTGGCACTTTTATCAACAAACACTCATCTTCCAGGGGAGAAAAGAGCTTTTGGCCAAGGAAAGCAGGAAGGAAAAGAGAAAGGAGGAAGGGAAAAACAGAAAAAAGAGATCACCTGTCTAAATCCCATAGAAGCTGAGAAACCTGTAGGTGGTCTTGCAATGCAGTGTGAGAGAAGAAGGAAAGGATTTTTAAAGATCATTGAGCTCCTTCACAGTTATTCAGAGATTCTACCAGCTCCCTAGAACGTCAGCAATCCCTTTTTTTTTTTTTGCAGTTGCGGGGGCGGGTCCCAGGGATTGAACTCAAGGCACTCAAACACTGAGCCACATCCCCAGCCCTGTTTTGTATTTTATTTAGAGACAGGGTCTCACTGAGTTGCTTAGGACCTCATTAAATTGCTGAAGTTGGCTTTGAACTCAAAATCCTCCTGCCTCGGCCTACTGAGCTGCTGGGATTACAGGTATGTGCCACCGCACCCAGCTAACAATCACCTTTTTGCCACTTGAATCTACACAGCTTGGGAATTTCCTAGCTGCCCAAGAATGGGAGCCATGGCTAGTGAGGCAGATTGAGGTTATGCTCTTCAGCCTTTGAAAGTAAAGGAAATAGGCGAATGCTAACAGAAAAAGTCGTAGCCAAATCAAAAAGAAAGTAGACCTACCAAAGTTGATGTCTCCAAAGTTCCCCATATGGGCCACTACGAGATGTAACAGAAGAGAAAGGGGGAGTTCAACTTGGGACCAACGGGGTTCTTGGCATATGTAATAGAAAAGAATTTCAGCATGTGCCAGACAAAGGCATTTATTTAAATGCCTAAAGAGGTTTATTTAGGAAGAAGATATACATTCAAGGGAGAATGTGGGCTCTCTTGAGAATAAGAAGCTTAACCTCCCTTTTTATTTTTTATTTTGAGACAAGGTCACAGTAAATTGCTGAGGCTGGCCTTAAATATACGATCCTCCTGCCTTTAAGCCTTCAGAATTGTTAGAGTTACGGGCATGTGCCACTGCGCCTAGCCTCTCATTTTGATTTCTATTTGTATCATCTTGGAGAAATGTCTTTTCAAGTCCATTGCCCCTTTTAGTCAGGTTATTTATTTTTGTTATTGTTGAGTTGTAGAAATTATGTTTTCTTTCTTTGTTTTTTTCTTTTTGAGAGGGGTGATGTTAGGGGTTAAACGCAAAGTCTTTGTGTACCCTAGGCAAGCACTCTACCTTTAAGCTACATCCTTTTTATTTTGTGACAAGGTCTTACTAAGTAAGTTGCCTTAGCTTGAGTGTACAGTTATCCTGTTTCAGCCTCCTGGGTAGTTGGGATGGCAGGTGTGTACCACCATGCCGTTTTAAGTGTCCTTCGTGATGAATGTTTACATGCATTCACTCTTATGTATATACTCCCCCAGATTAAGATGGAGAATGTTGACAGTGTCCAGGAAGGCCCCTGGGCCTCCTTCCCAGATAGCAGGCCCCTTCCTCTTCAAGATCCTCACTCTTCTCATCCCTGTTCCCTAGGAATTTTGCCTGGTCTTGAACTTCACATAAATGAAATCATAATGTGTAAATGTTGAACCTGGCATTTCTATATTTTCCAAGAACCCCTCCTTGTTCTCTGACATTTTTTTAAATGACATTTTGTGTTTGTTGTTCAGTCTCTCTCTTTCTCTATCTCTCTTTAAGAAACATTTTCTCTGTTTTGGAGTTTTCTTTTGTTACTTGCATTGTCTGTTTCCTCCAATTTGCTAGTTTCTTCTGTGCTTGTTTTGATGACTGAATTTTATTGGAGCTTTTCTGTAAATGCCCGATGATGCTTGGTTGGTTGTTGCCAGGTTTCTGTTCTCACGACTAAAAGGCTCAGGGTTTACTCCAGTTGAACTGGGCTAACTGGGCTGCGCAAAATAACCACACAAGAGACACAAATACCTTTTTCTTTGGGATCACTGTGATGGCTCCTTTGACCTTAAGGATCCACAGGAAAAGAGAGAGAGAGCATGCACTGACCCCTTTTATTGAGGAGAAGCTATTCAAATGAGGCAAGGGGTCAGGTTTCAGGAGGCTGAGTCTATCTGACTGACATCTGGGTAGGCCACACCCAAGGGCACAGTAAGAGAAGGGGACACACACAAGGCACTAACAGGGAAGATTCTATTCTAAACAGGGCAAGGGGTTATATTATAAAGGAACAGGTGAGCATAGCTTCACCCATGGGACTGTAGCAAGACACACCCATGGACGAGACACCATCCCTGGAACCCAAGAAGGGTGGGGAAAGCTCTGCCACATTTCTGTGACTGATCATCTCAGTACCCAGCTGGGGAGTGTGACTCAGTCACGTGCAAGGTTGGTCTCCCACAGGTTGTTCCTGTTTAAGTTCAAGTAGGCATAGAAAGCCTTTAATCCAAGTGACTTAGGAGACTGATACAGGGAAATCGAAAATTCAAGGCCAGCCTAGGCAACTTAGACTACCTTAAAATATAAAATTAAAAAGGGCCAAAAATATAGCTCAGTGGTTACAGTGCTTGCCTAACATGCACCAAATCCTGGGTTCCATTCCCCAGTGTGTACACACACATACAAAAGCACACTAACTGGAAGTTTTGTGGGAAGAGTAGGATTTGTTTACTGGGCAGTGTCTTCGTTGGGTATATATTAAAGAGCCCTAAAAAGTTTGTATTTGGAGATTTTTTTCTCATGGAGGTGGTTCAATTTCTCCAAGAATGATCTTATACTTTTTTTACCTTAATTGTAGATGTCTTGTTTTTATTTTCTTTTTTTTCAGATGTTTATTAAATCCTTTATCCTTTATTGAGTCTTAATGGGTCAGCTCTGCTTCTGACTATGCCTTGAATCCCTGTGCCTCCAGTCTTGTTCATTTGCTCTAAGGTTCCGTGGACTTGGCAGAAGGCTGGCTAAGCTGAGTGGCATGGCAAGCTGTAGGAGTTTTCTACCAGTGCCTGTGTCGCATCTGGAGTCTATTTTCCTGCTACTTTTTATTAAATTTGCCTTTTGACATCAGTGTCAACTTATTATATGATGCACTGCAATCATATTGTAGCTGAAAGCCATAAGCACAGTTTTTGCTTTATGTAATTATATATTTCAGCTTGTTAGGTAAAATCACTCCCTTTAGTAACATCAGTTATCCTGATACTGAATTATCTTTCTCCTTCACTTCTGTTATTTCTACTTACTTACCTAACCTTTTTGTTTACAGTGAGCACTTAAGATGTGCCGGGCTGGTCAAAGGATTCATACGTAATGAAATCTTACTATCATGATGAACACATGTCTATCACAGCGAAGTATCATAATTCTCAAGGTGATAGAACTGGGGTGTGAATTCAGGCATCTTGTTCCAGAGTGTGTGCTCTGCCCACTAAATATACTTTGACAATGTGAATGCATCTCGTAATGTTATATTTGCTGGAATCCAGAATATGTTGTATTTTTCAGATCTTTCTGTGGAATTTGGAACAATTCTAGTTTACACATGTGAGAAGAGTTGCTGGCCTCAAAATCATCAGACTCCCATGGAAGAATTTTGTATTATACAAGAAGACCCAGATGAATTACTGTTTAAGTAGAAAATTCCCTTTTATTTATACAAATTAAAACAAATGTTAATATGCAAATACAAGAGTTTACCTTATTTAACTATCAAGTTATTAATTTTTACTTGTTTATTTTTTGTTTTGGTTTTCATTGTTCAGGGGACAGAACCCAGGGCTTTGTGCATGCTAAGCAAGTGTTTTGCTGCTGAGCTGCATCCCCTGCCATTGTTTATTTATTTTGTGGTGCTGGGGATTGAACCCAGGGCCTTGTGCATGCAAGGCAAGCACTCTACCAACTGAGCTGTATCCCCAGCCCCCCGCCATTATTCTTGTTTTGTTTGTTCATTTGTTTTGTGGTAGTCAGGATTGAATCCAGGAGTGCTCTACCTCTAAGCTACATCCCCAGCCCATTTTATTTTTCATTTTGAGATAAGGCTTCATTAAGTTGCCCAGGCTGGCATCAAACTGTGATCCTCCTACCTTAGCCTCCCAAGTAGCTGGGATTATAGGCACGCACCACCACGGAGGCTCATAATTCTTAAGTGTTGATCTTTTTTTTTATGTTGTGGCACTTGTGTGGGTATTGGAGCCAGGGCCTCCTGACTGTGGGCTGGTCTGTCCTTCAGGGTTAATGACTTGACTACACAGTGACAGGTCAGAAAGTGGCTTCTCTCCAGCCCAGAAGGCCAGTGTTCCCTGCACAGGCATTCTCTTGGGCATTCTAGGGAAAGTAGCTAAAGAGCCAAGAGCCTGATTGGCCTATTACTACCCTCCTGTCTCTACACCCCACTACACCCTACTGCCAGTCCTGGATGCTGCCAAAGCAAAACACCCAGCCCACCTTGGCTACTTGAGGCTCCTGCCCTGCAACACTGACTGCTGGGACCTGTCCCTGGTTCTTGGCCCATGATCCCCTCCTGACCTCACCCACTTCTGCTCTCACTCTGGATATTATCCCTCTGCCTAAATGTCCACCTTTCCAGTCTCCCATTTTTTCATTCTGTTTCTATTATCAACCCTTTTCTGTCTGCTGCTCTTTGACAACAGTGTGAAAACACTCATACTAGCCATGTTCAGAGCTGTTCTTAGTCTGTGTAGATGAGGATGATGAGACCCGGATTATCAAGGGATGGAGTCCTTCTGAGTAGTATGTGACTGGGGAAAAATATACCTGCTCCTGCTCCTGGGCATAGCTGAGGGAAGGTGGCTGTATGTATACAAACTGGAAGTTCTCAGTGAGGCTTCAGGAATGCTGAGTTTGCAGAGCTAAAGCTGAGCATAGACCTGCAGAGGGAGCTTCTGTTTCTCTCTCATGCTTGCACAGCAACTGCCAGTTTCCTTGTGGCAGTTACATTTAGGCAGAGATGGCCTTAGCTTGCTAGACCAGTTATTCCAACTGGAACAGAAAGTAGACTGATCAGATTTATAGGTGGAGTATTTTGTATTTATTTAAATAGATAGTAATCCCCTCCTTTGATGTGAAAAATGGAGAAAGTTGTTGCATTAGAGTGTCTTTAAGGATCAGAAGTTGATATAGTTTCAGATATCCTAGTTAGGTGTTATGTTTCTGATTTTTAAGATGGAGACAAACTGCTTGCTGATCAAACACATCCTTGAATCTAGATATATATACTAGATTATAGGTCTTAACCTATGTAAGTAGAATACAGATTAGCAGGGGCATTCCCATGATCCCATTAAAAAAATTTTTTTTTCCCCAATACTGGAGATTGAACCAGGGGTGCTCTACCCACTAAGCTATACCCCCAGTTCTTTTCATTTTGAGATAGGATCTCACGAAGTTGCCCAACCTGGCCTCAAATCTGTGATTACAGGCGTGTGCCACCATACCTGGTACCATAGAATTATTATTGTGGCATATTGTGGAGAAAGCAAAAAAGTGAAACTGGCCAGGAATGGTAGTGCAGGTCTGTAATCCCAGTATTTCCGGAGGCTAAGACAGGAGAATTTCAAGTTTGATTCTAGCCTCAGCAATTTAGTGAGACCCTTTCTCAAAAAATAAAAGAGATTCAGGATGTAGCTGAGCAATAAAGCACCCCTGGGATAAGTCCCTAGTACTAAAACAAAACAAGTAAAGTTCTGTTTGTCACTCCTTAAATGACTTAGGCCTAGAAAGACACGCAGTAAACATCCTGATGAGTTGGACAGGGTTATGGTATAGGTGGGACTTCCAGTTTTTTACTTTTTTTTTTTTTTTTTTCTGAGAGGGGTACTGGGGATTGAACTCAGGGGCACTCAACCATTGAGCCACATCCCCTGCCCTATTTTTGTATTTTATTTACAGACAGGGTCTGACGGACTTGCTTCAGGCCTTGCTGCTGCTGAGGCTGGCTTTGAACTCAGGATCCTCCTGCCTCAGCCTCTCAAATCACTGGGGTTACAGACATGTGCCACCTTACCTGGCTACATTTTTACTTGTGTTCTATTGTCACTTGTTAAGGTGAGCAAGCATATTACACTTTATACATATGTGCACATACACATGCACCCAACAAACCCACAAAGAAAAGCAGAAGTCCTCAATTAGGCACCAAGTATAACCCAGGCCAAGAGAACACAGGACAGGCAGGAAAGAAACCAAAGAAAGTGATTGATTTACAGAGTGTCTGGAGAGGGAAGGAAGGTCAACCTCCTGAGGCATCTTTTAGGTTTAGCTGTGGGGTGGAGCCTTGTGAGAGCCCAGCTAATGGTGGAGAAGGACCAAGCAGCCCATTACACAGAGGGGCCCTCCACCGTGGTTGACCCTGGTTCTTCTTCCACTTCTGCATTAGAGCAACAGCCTGAGTCTTCCTCATAGACCAGCTTGGTGTGGTTGCTGAACCCAGCAGCTGAAAGACCACAGAAGTCAAAATAGTATTTTTCTCCATTTTTAATGTTTTTCTACTTTCTTCTAATAAGTTGTTTGTTGGAAGTGCTGGAAATTGAACCCAGGTCTTCTCTCCTGCTAAGCAGTAGCTCTGCCACTGATTTGCAGTCCCAGACCCAATTTATTTTTGTTTGTTTGTCTATATTTTTCTTCATGGAGCATGAGAATTTGGGAAACATAAAAGTTCAAAGAACTAATAAATATTGTCTACAATTCTACCACATACCAATACACAAAATAGGGCTGGGGATATAGCTCAGTTGGTAGAGTGCTTGCCTTATATGTACAAGACCCTGGGTTCAATCCCCAGCACTACACACACACACACACACACACAAAACCAATACACAAAATACTGTAACTTTTTTTTTCTTCCTGTCTTTTATTTATTTATTTATTCTTTTGTTTTATAAAATTTAATCACATTGTATTGTTCCAGGAAAATTTGGTATAAAAGAACTGGCTCTAGTGCCAGGCATGGTGGGGCACACCTGTAATTCCAGCAGTTTGGGAAGCTAAGGCAGGAGGATTGCAAGTTCAAAGCCAGCCTCAGCAAAAGTGAGGTGCTAAGCAAACTCAGTGAGACCCTGTCCCTAAACAAAATACAAAATATGGCTGGGGATGTGGCTCAGGGGTCAAGTATCCCTGAGTTCAATCCCCAGTACCAAAAAAAGAAAAAGAAAAAGAACTGGCTCTAAGGATGCAGTGAGACTGAAGAAAGAGGCATACAGATCCAGGGTTACACAGAAGTACAATTTATTTAGGATTTAATGATAGGAGTGTGGTCAAATACAGCAGCAAGACCAATGAATTTGAGACTTGGGTTACAGGGAGGACTTATATAGTGGTCAGTATCAAAGTGATTTCAAAGGCTGGGAATATAGCTCAGTTGGTAGGGTGCCTCCCAAGCACAAGGACCTGGGTTCAATCTCAGCACCATAAAAGTGATTTCATTCAAGCTGGAAGATACCAGGTTTATCTCAAGCTAACATCAAGAATGTCAGGCACATTCTAGCAGCACCAGGGGGTCCAGTTGATCCTAAAGCCCACATTTCTTTTCTTTTTTTTTGGGGGGGGGGCAGGTGCTGGGGATTGAACCCAGGCCTCATGTATCAAGGCGAGCACTCTACCAACTGAGCTATATCCCCAGCCCTAAAGCCCACATCTAATTCTGCTGGTTTTGTTTGTTTATAGAGTGAAAACAGACCTGGGTTACTCAGGAGCAGTCACGCATGGTGTTTACAACTCAAGGTGGTCATAGTCAGGATAAGCTGAATTCTTACATGTTTAAATAGTTTTCTATATCTTTTTCATTTAACATTTTATTGTGAACATCTCCCCCATTGATATTTTCTCCATGACATAATTTGTAATTGATGCAAAGTATTTTTTTAAATAAATATGAAAAACTTTATACAAACTAGCCATTTGTTTTATCCAGTTTTTGTTATGATGACCATCAATCACTAAGATTAAATCTCTATTTTTTGTGTGTGAAGGGGAATTGAACCTAGGGGCACTTTACCTCTGAGCTATGACCCCAACCGGTTTTACTTTTTATCTTGAGACAAGGTCTTGCTAAGGTGCTTAAGTACTCACTAAATTGCTGAGGCTGGCCTCAAACTTGCAGTCCTTCTGTCTCAGCCTCCCAAACTGCTGGGATTATAGACATGTGCCACCACACCTGAAGTTGGTTTTTTTTTTTTTTTTTTGTGGTGCTGAGAATCAAACCCAGGGCCTGCACTATGCTAGGAAAGCACTCTACCACTGAGCTACACTCGCATTCAGCACAGGATAAAATCCTAGAATTTGAATGAATAGGTCAAAAGCTGTGTGTAAGTGCCAGGGGTGTAAGCTCCATGGTAGAGTGCTTGCCCAGCACTGCAAAAATAAAAAATAAAATTGATCTTCATCTCTGAGTGTCATGTCCTATATCTGGTGCCTGTACTCTCAGCTACTGGGGGGCGGGGGTGGCTGATGTGGGAGAACTGCTTAAATCCAGGAGTTGGAGGCCAGTCTGGGCAACACAATGAGATCCTGTCAAAATTAAACAAACAAACAACAACAACAAACAATAATAAAAACCCTATATACTTGCACAGTTGTAAGTTTTTAAAATCATACTGCTAAATTCCCTTCTAGAATCTTTTGGGGTTTTTTGGTACCCAGGATTGACCACTGAACCATATCTTTAGTCACCCCTCCCCTTTTAAAAAATTTTTTAGCTGTGGATGGACACAGTATCTTTATTTTTTTATGTGGTGCTGAGAATCGATCTAGGGCCTCACACATGCTACCGCTGAACCACAAACCCAGCCCATCTCCAGCTGTTTTTATTTTTTATTTTGAGATAGAGGTGCTAAGTTGCTTAGGGCCTCGCTAAATTGCTGAGGCTGGCTTTTACTAGTAATCCTCCTCTCAGCCTCCCCAGCCACTGGGATTACAGGTGTATACCACCATACCTGGCAGTAGAATCTTTCTTTAGAACATTTACCTGGAGCATATGGGAGCGTGTATTGCAGTTGGAAAAGAAACCAAACAAATCCCCCAAATTTCAACTGAGACTTTTTTCCTATTAAATTTTTACAACATGGGTTATTTCTGACCCCAGATGTATGGGGGTTTTCTCACATACACTAAGCAATCAACCAATTCTGCAGTGGTGAACACCAGCTAGGTGTCCTCAATTCAGTTCTGACACTACCTAGAGATACCCTCAGATCCTTCAGGTTGAGGGTTCAAGCCTCAAGACTTCCCCCTGCCAATTGCATAGCCCAGATTGTTTTACCTGTACTTCTGACCCATCAGCTCTACACTGGGGTTCCCACGATTCCTTTCTCATGTCAAATCCAGTTGTTGGAGTGGCTTGCACAACTTAGGGAAAGAAATTTACCAGTTTATTGTAAGGGATATTACAAAAATTGCAGATGAAAAGGAGCATAAGGCATGGTGTTGGAGGTGGGGAGTGGAGCTTTTGGGCTCTGGGCTAACATTCATGGGTTTGCCTGTCTAGATGCTCTTAAGCCTGTTCTTTCGGGTTTTCATAGATTTCATTGCAGAGGCATGATTGAAGCATGGACAACCTTGTAGAAATGTGACTGTACACAGAGGGTGTGATCTAATGCTCATAGGCTGGGTGGCAAAACCCAACAAAGCCTGTCAGTTCAGTAATCTGCTTGGCCTCTCTGTGCAACATGCTTCCCTTCAGGGCAGGGGCAGGATCCCTCTGGAATGAAACAGGTTTTATGACCTACTATTCAAGTGGGATAGCAAATTTCTTTATGGAAGCTGGACACAGTGGCTCAACCCAGCAACTCTAGAGGATGAGGCAGAAGAATGGCAGTTTGAGGACAGCCAGGTCAGATTAGGGAAACCCAGTCTCAAAAAAAGAAAGGGCTGCAGATGTAGCTCAGTGGTAGATCACATCTGGGTTTATAACAGTGGTCCACTTCACCTTTGGAACATAGCCTTCACTGCTCTGTGGCTTATTTTAAAAGGAACATATTTTTCTGTTCCTCTTCTCCCTTTCCCTAACCTAGGACACAGAGAACAAAAGTACCTTTTCCCAACCTAGGCACTTATCTGTCCTTGAGCCACACCCACCACTGGAAGAAGGGGTCACCAGAAGATCTAAGGCATGACTAACTCCCAAATTAACAAATTATTTCCTTTCCTTTCCTCCTTCCTTTAGGCACCAGAGATTGAACCCAGGGCTGCTTCACCACAGAGCCACTTCACCACAGAGCCACTTCACCACAGAGCCACATCCCCAGCCCTTTTTATACTTTGAGATAGGGTCTTGCTAAGTTCCTATGATCGCTCTAAATTGCTAAAACTGGCTTTGAACTTGAAATCCTCTTGCCTCAGCCTCCTGAGCCTCTATGATTATAGGTACTACTATGCCAGGCTTAACAAGTGAATTTCAACTACCATCAAGGTGCACCTGGGACCCCCATCAGGGCATACTGGGAATGTAGCCTGTGAAGAGCTTCTTTAAAAGCCCTCTGTTCTCTTGATGGGCAGGAATCACAGCTCTAGACAAAAGTACCCTGTGCTTCTCCTTTGCTAGCAAAGCAATAAATCTTTTTTCTTTTTCTCAAAACTGTGTCCTCTGGGCTGGGGTTGTGGCTCAGTGGTAGAGTGCTTGCCTAGCATGTGTGAGGCCCTGGGTTCGATTCTCAGCATCACATGTAAATACATAAAATAAAGATCTATCAACAACTAACAAAAATATTAAAACAACAACAAAAAAACTGTGTCCTCCTTATTAAATTGGCATCAGGGATAAGGACTGAGCTTTCAGTAACAGGTTAACCCCTGTACTGCAAGGAAAGAAAACCTTTTTCTTTATGGACTACTCCAATACAGAAAGATTGAGTATCTATGACCTATTGTTACCGTAGTTAACTGGAGACAGAGTCCTTGCTTCCCCAATGCTGAAGTATAACACCAGAGAAGCACACGGCAGCAAGTTTAGAATGGAAAGTAGAAGCTTTAATAAAGGACAGCAGAAAAGACTTCTCCCCAGAGGAAGAAGGGGACCCAATAGGTGGAATCCGTGGAAGTGGGGAGGTCTTCCCTCTTTTATAGCTAAGGTCTTCTTTCAGCTTTCCCATTTCTGTCGCCGTTCCTGTCCTTCTATCAGTTATCTTGCAGTGATAGATAGTAGGTGAGGAGACCCAAAAGGTGAGGGGCAGAAGGGCCTGAGGAGTAATCTGCGCAGGACAGGCCTGGGGCCGCTTCTGATTAGCATCTCCCTGTTTGCTGGGAGCTGTTTTATTAACATTTCTTTAGAATGGGCTCTGGGCCTTGGGAACATTAACATTTCAATTTCTCCAAGTGCTGCTCTGCTTTCCCAGGCTCCATTCTCAACATGGCCTTCATTTTCGATTTTACTAGATATTAGATCCGATTTACCTAACTACACTAACTACCTATCTTTCAATCTGGCTTCATTACCTTGAAGAAAAGACATTCTATTTTCTACAGCCCATCTTAGGGAGAGTCAAGAATTGGACAAAGACCTATATATATCATAATATTCCCAACTACTTGTTTCACTATCTTTTGACAACAGAATGTTATATATATTTGTCAATTCAATAGGTGAAACCAATCCCAGTGTGATTTTGCATGTTTGTTGTTGTTTGTAATGCTGAGACTCAAACTCAGAGTCTCACACATGCTAAGTTGCTGCTCTGCAATATTTTCTTATTAATTTGTAAGAGCTCTTTACATATAGGGGCAGTTTTCCAACCCATAAATAATGTCTTGGTTGGGAATTCAAACCGCTGCCTAAAAGGAGATCTTAAGAGGCTTCTCAGGTGGAAAAGCCGGTCTGTGCACATATATGAGAAGCACTACAGGTCTCTTCACCGTTGGAGGTCTCGGAGCCATTCGCAAAGAGGAAGGCCTGGGCCCAGGGGACACTACACACCACACCAGAGGCAGACCCGGGACTCCGCCTGCCTGGCGCCGACTGGCGGCCGCAGTGCGCAGGAGCGGAAGCTCGGCCGCCCTTCCCCCACCCGCTTCCGGGCGCGGCTCACTTCTCCCGCCTCCGCCTCCGCCGCGGCTCGTGGACGTCCCGCCATGGCACTGTCTCGGGGGCTTCCCCGGGAGCTGGCTGAGGCCGTGGCTGGGGGCCGGGTGCTGGTGGTGGGCGCGGGCGGCATCGGCTGCGAGCTCCTTAAGAACCTTGTGCTCACCGGCTTCTCTCACATCGACCTGGTGAGGGCCGGGCGCGCGCTGGCTGAATGGCGGGCTGCGGTGCGGGGGCCGGGGGGCTTGGGGCCCAGAGTTCGGGACCGGATTTGGGGGCGCCGAGAGCGGTTCAAGAAGTCCTGGGTCGTGGCTGCCTCTGTGGAGGGAGCTATTCGACCGGGACGGGGCGCTCCTTCGCACGTCGGGCCTGCTCCGGAGGCGGAGAGGCCGCGGGCCCGGGTCTTCCGGACGCTCCGTCGCGGGGCCGCTGCCCGCCCCCCCTCCTCCGTCCCCCTGCAGCGCCAGTTTGTGGCGTCTCAAAGCGATGGAAGTGGCCTCGTACCTTTTCACTTTGAAACTGTTTCCCAATTGCAGTGGAGTGAAGGAAAAGATTGAGTCTCGTGGATGTTGTGACTCTAATTTGCAGGTCTCCCCTAACTCAGAAATTACGACCCAGAGGACGGCTTTCACAGCAGCCCCACGTCCCGAGCGCTCTTCTGGAGCGGTTTATACTAATTCATTTACTCTTTACCACCATCTCATGCGTGTGCACTGTTTTCATCTCATTTTATTTTTAACAGATGAGGGAAGTGAGATGCAATGGGATTTAATAACTTACCCTGGGTCACGAAGCAAAGTGGCAGGACTCCTTTGGGGCTCGCGCTCCTCCGCTGAGTACAGCATAGATACACTCGCTTATTTCATTCAAGATGTGTTTAGGGTTTTAACTTTTGCGTTGGTGTACAATGACAGAAAGCTACTGTAATTGTAAGTCAGGTTATTTATCTCTTAGATTGGAGATAACACCTGGAACTTGGATGTGAGTTTAAGTACACTTAAGGTGTACCGGCAAGGTGAAGAGGGAAAAAAGTAGAGGAGACAGACTATTCTAATAAAAGAGTGAAAGGTAGCAGACTGAACTAAGGACTGATTAGAAGGAAAGAATATACACGTTTTTCTTTGCTTAGTTTTTCATCCAGT